CTGTTCCTAAAATTGCTTGAGACGTGTTTCCGAATATTTGGTACTTTCCAAGAGTAGCTAGTTCGCATGTATGCACGTGCCTTAAAACGTTTGGCTCCCTCGCCGACAAAGTCCTTTCCTCCTTAAGTGTCAGTCGATGTAAATACATGCGTAAATGAGCATTTGTCAGCGAAGGCTGTCTGGACAACATTCTTTGGTGAATTCACGTTCTGCCGTTCGCGGTCATTGCTTTAGATACAGGAAGCGTTCGAGATAAGGATCTTGTAAGGCAGCAGCGGCACGACGAATGCAAAGTGGAAAATGGAAACTGAAAAAGACAATACAATGGTGCTCGCAAACTAAGTGGGCAAAACCAGATATGTTCGCTCACAGGACCGACTTCGTTCGCTTGCAAAGGCGGTACAGGATTCGGTCGGATCTATCTGATTATCGCCCCTCATCGAGAGGGTCAGATCACAAGGGGGCGAAAGCCACCCGATTTGCTGCTGCTCCTGCTGCTGCTGCCGCTGCCGCTGCCGCCGGCGATATAAATGACAACGACGTCTGGAAGAGGAACCCGAAAGGTAGTGAAAAAAACCATTTAACTTGGGTAAGGTTTGATAGTATTCTGTGGTTAACATGCTATATCGTATTATAATGTAGGTGTTTCTTTGAAATATCACTAAGTTATTTCTGCCGTAGAATCTCTCTAGAGAGCCTGGTATGTTAATCAATCCTTTGAATTGAAGAAGTCCTTGTTATTTAAGAACAAAATCTAATATACGCTTGTCTGCAGAAAAGTAATACATTACTGTATTATTACAATTTATTTATTGGACTTATTGAGATCTTATTAATAAAGAAAACTGTAGTAGAAATTATCTGAGATAAGTTAGGGTATTAGTTGAACAACACACGCACAGTTTCCTAAGGGTCTGTCCAACATGGCGAAATGGTTCCGGGACTATGCTATATCAATCACTTATTCGACTATATCTGTAATTAGAATGCTTAGTTATCATCGGCATTGCGGCTGTATACTATTATGGTCCCACGTTTCGGGAAGACATCATGGGACATCTTAAAGATCTCTCGAAGGACGGAAGTAAGGGCCATGTATTAGTAAAAATGTCTAAAACTCGCCTAAATCTTGTATCGAGGTGCTTTCCCATTTCTTCATTCCTTCAATGCTTTCTCGACCTTTGCCGCATACAGCTACTCCTAGGTAACCCAGTCGCTATCATCGCCCTCGTGGTTTTGAGAGGCTCGAACGTTACAGCAACGTCACCGTGATTACGGCATCCCATCGGCTTTACTATGAGCTGAGACCAACATAGGCGCCGCCAATTGGACGGATTTTAAAAGCTGAAGAATATGTAGGCCAAGAGAACGACTTGTATCGACAACCAGGTCTTTACTCGTCTGATTTGAACGTGCTCAGCTCCTCTCTGACCTGGACTATAGGCTTTTTTCGCTCACAGAAGGGTATGTTCTTCTGATAATAAAGCTTCATCCTCTTGCGTGCAGCTAACCAGAGAGCTAATTTAAAGGCAGACAAGAGACCAAGAGAAGAGGCCAAGAGGAGACGATCACAGGATATAGCGGTGTCATCATTTCGCAAACTTCACCGCACCAATGCTTTGAGGGACTAACCGTCTATGGCGAGAGGGAAAAGAGAACGGGGCAGAAAGGGGTTCACCAGGGACCATTCGTGACAGCAGGAGATTGGTCTCCGCCAGGCGCTGCATATTGAGCAGGAAAGGTGACCGGAAGTGTGTGGTATAACCTCACGTTCGTTCTTACGGCTCACCGTGCCTCCATGGAAGATATTCAGGGGGTCACCGCATACACAAGCAACACTAAGGTTATCCAATGGCTCGGGTGTTAGATCTAGCGTCATGCAGGCTGGATGAAGGCGCGATGGTACTGACCAGCGGGAGATACTGGTGCTGACAGTGATAGCAAGGAGCAAAGTACGCCGGAAGACTTGAAAAATAGCTAGGCTGCATCCCGCTGACAGGTTATGCCGAGCGCTTTTTGTGGTAGCCACCCGTTGCCCACGTGCCGTTTACCACGACGTGCGTATGCATAGTTAGCAAGTACGCTAAACGAAATCGCTATTAAGTACAGGTCCAAAAGTAAACTCATATTAACCTATCTTTGTTGTCGTAATGCACGATAGAATGTGTCGCTTGCTCGACCTCCTTCTTATACACACATTTATTGAGTCACTGACGACTGTTACAGTTTTGCCTCAATTTCTGATCACTCTATCTATCTGTTGAGATTAATAGAGCCTAACTACCGCAAAGCGGAGCCTATTTTCAAGCAAAAGAGCAAGCAAACGTTGGTTAAACTAATAAGACCAATAACGAACCTTTATACATCTATACAACTTAAATGCTACTTTATGAAATTAATTATTATGATGTTGTATCTGTGTAAGCAGCGATTGAACCTGCAAAATCAAGACTACTGCTTGCTCAGCTGTCACTTATGCTGTAATCTAGTACTACGTTTGTATAGAGCATTTATTTAGATAACTTTAAAGTATTCGCCATGTTATTTTGAACCCTTACGTAATGTTTTTTTTGATTAGGCAAACGGCCTCCAATGAGAACACAATAATATACTTTCACTTCAATAATATAACAATAATAACTTCTTCTGAGCTTGCACTCCCTGTTGAAGCACTCGGTTGCAACGATAACTGCGACCCTGCCTTGTATACAGGTAACTATGGAAATATGCCTTCACCCTCTGTCCACCGTCATTCTCGATTTGAGTCGAAAAATTGCAGAAGGAAATACCGCTGTCAAGCTTTTTTTGACAACATCGAATTTTATATTGCTTGAAAAGTCAGGGTTGGTCGGTCCAGGCCCCGCCGATGACATAAGCATACCTACACAATCGGTGTTATTGAATAAGGAAACGTATAGAATTGTACGTGCCGTAGAAAACCGTAGGTCAGATTTATACTGTCGACTTTAACCGTCGTCCTGGCTGTTACGGTAGTCGCTGTAGCTAAAGGTCGCCCGGCCTGCTGTTCCGAAAGTTTTGACGCATTTCAGTATAGAGTGCATGTAGAAGAAATTAGGTAAGGTTTGACCTACCAAACTAGTACCCGACCTCCTTTACATGAATAAAGGTTTTAAGGTTTACGTGCAGCACCGCCGGTAAGCATTTCTTCAGGCGACTGGCTGCCAGTGCTAAACGAAGTGTGCTTACGTCCGGTTTCGAACCTAGACTACTTCAAGCAGCCCTAAGTACAGACAAAAAAATCACTGCACCATCAAGTGGGGACAGACTTTCCTCACTAACCACATCAATTCTAGAGACTACTGTTGACCTGCAAAGGCACCGCAATCGCAGTTAGCACTTTCTTACAGTATCCATACGTGTATATTATGAATGTGTGATCGCAAATGCGCTACTATGCAAAAAAGCAGGAAGTTTATTTGTAAATTAGAGCAAAGGTCAACAATTGACGCAACAACGATATAGCGACATATTATTTCACACCTAAAACATCACTGCATAGATTTTTTTAGAAGTAAATTTAACTTTTTCAATTTTGTGCTTCTCTCTTTTACACAAAGTATGCATAACGTTTTCAGCACCCTTATCTGATAAATCACAGATAAGTTGATGTTAGTAATGACGAAGTATCTGATGTGAAGGTATATGAGTTGATCGGAACGCGAAAAATTCTGTTGTATAGTAATAATCATTCCTTTTCAAGAAACGTGGTCAATGTGGCTCTGAACAAAACCCTAGAAAAGGGTATACCAAATAAGGTTCATAAGCTGGGCGGCGAAATTAGATTTCCCAGTCAAATTACAAATAGTTTAAAAGAAACAGGCTACGTATCCAAATGCACACTTCGTCGTAAAGGTTGTTACTATGGATGAAGTCCATTATGTTGCTTGTTCACCTATCAACGGCCTCATTATGACGGTGAAGCATGTCACGAATATTTGTGAAAAATATATGTTACATAGAAGGTCTCATGTGTTTGGAGCTGTCGCAAATATGTTTTGAGCTACCTTAGGATTGACTTCGTTAGCTACAAAACGGTTCAAGATTTGCACAGCCTTATGTGTTTAAAACAGCTGGAAAGTACGTAAACCTCAACTGAGCGGGGGTAGGGTAACGTGGCGTATTAGAACAATACAGTCGAAAACATTACAAGCTTCAATTTGGTGGAATAATACCATAACCCTTTTAAGGCTTGAAATCCCACAAAAAGACCCACATAGACGAGCACAATTCTGCCCATGGAGGGAAAATTCAGTTCATGGCTTTTGGACGATGGCAGCTTGGACGGCGCAATCTTCTAGGAAGTTGCTAAGGAGACCGACTGACTTTGCAAATGTATCAAGCCTTGAGTTCAGCTACACTAAACATGAGCTCTTCTACATTAGGAAGCGAGCAGTTTGGTAACGAGGCTTCTCTCTAACATCAAGAGCCAACTTAGCAACAGTACCGTAAAGCAGGCTTAGGTACCAAACTCGCCGAATAAAGGAAACGCCAGAAACATAACCAGCTAGAGCATAAATTTTTATTCCGGTTAGTAACAATTGAGATACTGAGAGTTGATGAAAAGGAGTACGCATCCCTTCTTAAAAAACTTGGACATGGGTTTGCGTGTGGATCTGCCTTGAGAAATGTGTGAAAAGTAACTCTTTCAAAGGCTTAGTGTTGAACTTTAAAGGGGAAATGCATCGCCCACAACTACTACCCATTGACTTCATGCCCACAAACGATAGTTCGCCCCGACTACAGTAACCTGATCCAAACGAGGGGTCTTATTGTTTCATTGCTAGGTTAAAAAAAATACTGATTATGTAAATTTGCTGATGAGCTGCATTATGCTATATTTGTATGAACGGCGTGCAAATATTGAAAGCTTAGCGACAGTACGGAGCTCCTTCTAATTTATGCTTCCAGGTAAGTACATGTCATGACACTTGCTGTAATACCTATTCAGTATATCGCATTGTGTTCAGATGTTAACTTACCTGTGCCGGGCAAGAGTGTGTTGAAAATGCCGAGAATGATGGCGAGCGAGGGGTGAAGTAACGGCACAGCCTTCCGGAATCGGCCGTGCCGTTCGCGTATGGAGATGAGCTCGTAGCGCGCTACTGCCTGTCCGTTCTGGATTTCGACACAGTCCGATGGCACCGAGACGACTACCTGACGAACGTCTGGGCGTTGAGGAAACAACCGACCTGGATGATACGAGCCAACCATTCCTCCACTGCTGATTCCACCTCCATAGATGTGTCCGGCCGTCCCATACGAAGAGCCACCATACGACCCAACACCAACGCCAACGCCACCGCCCCCACCCGCGTAGCCGTGGCCCCCGTAGCCACCAATAATCTCCCCTCCGTAACCTCCACCCTCGTAACCTCGTCCAACGCTGCGAGGCCCGAACGACGGTCCTCCTGGGGGCAGCCCGCCGTAATACACCGGCTTGCTCAGGTGGTTCATAAACCCGCTGTAGTCTTGGTAGCCGCCCCTGCCAGCGCCCACGCCATAGCCACCTGTCGACGAGTAAGAAGAATTAAAATGCAAGTGAGAAAGGTTGGGTATCGAATGTTAAGACATCATAAAAATTTAATAATGACCACACTAAAAATGAATATACCTGCAGCGTTAGTTGTGTCTACAAAGGTTATTGATACAAACTAATATAATGAAAAAAAATCCACTTTAATACCGGACATCAGGGATCACGAATGACCACATCGAGAAACAATTCATGAACCTTACCAATGGTCTTCAGTAAAACAACAGCTTATCATTTTAGTAATGTCGTAAATCCTACGATCTTGTCTCATGGTAGTAGAGATAATTACTGTAATCCAAAAAAATGAAAATCGAAATCTGCATAAATAATACATTGTGTAAGGATAATTTGCGGCCCCTCAGTGTAAAAGGAATGTACACAAGCAATCAAAACCACAGAATATTAGATAGAACTGTTTTATAAGCAGACTCACAACTACTGCTTTCTCCTATGCTATGACTGAGCCGCAGGCCTCTTGTAAATATGGCGGAACGTTATATGATAGTTTTCGCACAAAGCGAATTTTCTATTTCCATTGGTGATGATACTCTATCATTTTCAAGCAGTTCGGTCCAGCTATGTGGCGTACTTAATAGTAAACCACACTTATGCTCTTGTATATACTTTGTCTGTAATAAACTAGAAATATAGCTATATCAGAACAATGTCACAACTTAAATGAGTTTAACAAAGTCTAAGGCACGTTGCTTCGTTGCAAGCAAACGAATCGAGGACTCTCTTGCAACCCTGTTAAGAAGCATCACCTGCCGTATTGAGACGTTCAAAGACACGTTGAGACGACGTTCCGTTGACTAACTGACCACCTGCGCCGCACCAGTACGGTACACTCCACCTCACGATTCGGCGATTTAATATACGTACATTCACTACCTCACGGTTTTCCTTACTCAAGGTCTGTTCCGCACTTATTCAAAATCACGGAAGGTTTATCCTATTATAGAAGCCCCTAATGGTCCGTCTTAGAAAACAGTAAACTCGAAAAGGACGTAGGGCTATGAGGCACGACTTCGGTAACGTCGGAAGCGGTTGGGCTAATTTTTATCGGCCTTCGACTGGTGACAACCCCCTATAGACCCCCTGGGCGAACCGATTTATCTCTCGTACACCCCATTCCACTGTTAAATTGGCGAATTAAGCTCGTAGAGAACGGGGTGGACAGGGCGACGATAGACGATTTTCGACGAGTAACGTCTACCGATGTCCACACAGAATGGCTGATTTTTTCCGGCCCTGCCACCCGCTTCTCATCCTTTAAGTAGTAGAGCTTCATCGCCGCCTGTTCGGTTGATCAACGAGGGACTGCTCTGAAGGTAGGAAGCAGCACGAACGAATAGTCAGTGACCCTTCAAAGCCGGGTAACACCGCGCAGAACAGGGAGTGAAAGAAGTTTTCAATTGCGGCTGATGTTGCCTGGCTTGGGGAAAGGACGATCCCAAGCGCCTATAGGAACTGAGTCGCCTTCCCTTGCGGCCAGCGAAGATTTATTAAAGTCTAAATTGAGACTCCCCATAGAGGCGGCCGTAGTGGACCTTCCCCCCGCTTGACTAAGTTAGGCAAGAGAACCTTTCTTCATAGCCGCAATTGACCCTTAGCAGGAAGAATGGTTGGTGCAAAGGCGGACGTATTTTTTCTCGCTTCACCCTTTAAACCTCTTTTATCTGTCTCGAAAAAATGGAAACCAAAAAAAAAATGCCGCGGCGCTCAAAACAAAAAAAGGGCTCTACGTCCACATTATCGACCCTACACGTACTATGATAGGCATGTAACGGTGGACAAAAAGAACGTGAAACGTATATTTGTCGCGTCGAATAAAACACATAAATGGGTATTTGACATGTTCGACAAAAACCATACCAATACATCCCTGTTACGTCCAGCTCAGTTTAATAAGAAGCTCAGTATTGAGTAGGCAATCGAACTGTAATATATATCTTGAATTGAAAGTTGTTAAAATGGTAAAATCCAGCAGACTCAAAATCTGAGCATGGCCATGTGTTTACTTGGAACAAAATGTATGTAGGATACCCAGCGGAAACAACAGCTAATGATCCCACACACGAACTACGCGTATGTTTACCCTAGAATATGGATAGCATCATATCTTCACGTGGTCTTCTCTGTTGAAAAACGAATATGTTTCTATTTGAGCACTTCAGCCAAAGACAACCCATAGAAAACAGTTTCACGTTAGTCGATCAGCTTCGAATCGGATCGAAATTGACTACTTCATCTCTGATAACTCTCTCATTCGGATATTGCTTACTAAACACTATGATGACAAGAAAACACGTTTTTTTTATTTCTTGCAGCCAATGGTTGGTGAGCGGTGGGTACCTGTCTTTGTCTTTACGAAGGTCATGGATTTAGAAAACACTAAGGAACCATCCCAATTATATCCCGCAATTCCATGATATCAAATCGATATTAATTTATTTATGATGCTACCAGTAAGATCAATTTGGACGACAACAAACCTTAGAGACATCACGAAACGAGGAGGTTAGTAATGGTGATCGTAGCACTAGCCGCAGCAGCGATGGCAAGACTGTCGGAAAAGCAGGTTACTGCTGTCCTATAGATCGTTCGATATAATTCAAGCTCTATACGGGCTAAGCCGTGTGTATTCGAGTTGCATACGTCGAGTTTCTGAGCATTGCTTTTAACTCATTAACCTGTTAACCGGTTTAACAACCTGGGCGGTTGGAGACAAACGGTACACTATGTGTCATAAAAAGTTGTTTGCGATTTCAGTTTCGACCCAGTCCCTTCTCCCGGTACAACTCTGTTTTCTTCGCGACATGAACCGACGGAACGAACTGGGCAGATGATGAGGATCATTCCGAAGAATAAGAGCCCATTTTTCAGGATTGACGCAAAGCAGGATTGGTTGAAGGAACAACTGCGGTATCTGCGACAGCAACAGCAGGAGCAATGATTTCCTCAGATGTTTAGTTGGAGAGAGATTGGTAGAATTCAGATATAGAAAGCAGGGCCAGGAGGAAATATCAAATTCTAACTGAACAGCTGAGCTGAAACATTTCTGAAAATGAAGAGTCTATCGCCGACCCACCAGTAAAAGCATCTAACTAGGAAGTGAATAAAGCGCTTACATATATGAGACACAAATTGTAGGATAAAGGGTTGTTGGACGCGTTTTAGGAGCACTGAAACAAAAATTTGCCGACAAGCTCGTCGGACCTCAGATATTATTAGATAGACCCGCATAGCTGCTACAAACGTTCATGTTAGATAGGATAGATTTTATCTAGAAAAATAAAGCGGCTGGCGGGTAAAAAAGGATTAGAAAAAGGAAATGCAATAAATTGAAAACTCTACGACGGTAAGCGACTACCTTTATGAGGCCCATTGAGATTTCAGAGCGTAGACATTTTTTGATTGCCCATTACGTACGGAACTGTAAAAGCAGCCGACTCAGCTTGTTGGCCTTCTGGCCTGCAACTATAACTGCTCGAACAACAACAACAACGACGACAACGACGACAGCACTCTAAAGCCAACAATCGACTAGACTAATTAGATAATAACAATAATTATAACTGGTGTAATTTATTCATTAAGTCAGCTTTTCCTTCTCGGTGAAGTAAAAGTAGCTGTCTTTAGCCAAGGCACACGAGCGTGCCGTTGTTAATTGGGAGAGCTATTGAGTTTGGAGCGGTTCTCTGCGATCGCCTCGAGTTCTTCTCCATACGTTTCAGCAAAGTTCCATTGATGGCTGGACCTCTCTGCCGATCAGGTCATACGGTTCTAGCAATAACATATGTACGTTGCTTGTATGAAGATAAACTAGTAATGCACCCTACTAATAGATTTAAAATTTCGATAAATGATATTCGCTTATGCATGCGCAGCACTATAGATCCTATTGTAGACCACTTTCATTTTGCAATATATACAACTATGAACCATTTTTTTGACTATAACTAACAGGCCACAACGGCTCAAGCAGGAGACATTACTACTCACCTTTACTAACTCTGTGATCTAGATTTGAGCACGACTAGACGAGGAAGGTTACTGAGAGTAGGTTGCATAGTGGAGCACGGATATGAATTTCTTCTGATCGAAATCTGCTGTACTTTAGCTTATACTAGATCTGTTTTCTCGCTAGTTCGTTAAATCAGTAGAATTTCCGGAAACGAGAGTGCATAACCTAGCCAATTGAAAAACAACAATGTATTAACTGAATTCAGCTGTGGTTAGTGTCCTGAGAAAACGCTGTAAGGTCAGAGAACTTCGCAGGCCAATGAACGTGTTCAGCTCACTTTCGTTTCAAGTAGGGCACGACGTCTTTGATTTTGACTCTTCCACCATGAATTACCATTATTGGTAGAGGTCACCTCAGATAAGATGCCATTTGCTCAAGCAACTGACGTAGTCTCTGCGTCGTTCAGGGTTACCGAGAGCTTGTTCACAGGGAAATACCTGTTATCTTACCCACTATACATTAATCATTGTGTTAATTCCATTGGGAATTGTTATCGAATAGAGCATTATACTTTTGGACGGTGGAAAGCGAAAAGTCACCGCTGCTAGAGAAGCCCTCCAGACTGGTCAGGATTCTTAACCTGCTATAACAAACACAAACGTAAATTATCCCGATGACTGACGAATGTTAATCGATATCTTCAAATACACTATTCATGGCCACAGCAATGGCGATAGTCTAATCTGTAGAAAATAGAACAAAGCCATCTCTGTTTTCACGACTCGGCAGCCTCGCCGCTTTGACCTCATCGGTTTGTTTAATTAAAACGAGCTCTTGTTTTCCCCTACCTCCAGCACTGGAAATAGGTTCACGCTTTTGAAGCCAGTAACAGCAGAGTTCGACATAAGACTAATCGAAATCAGCAGCATGTGCGTTTTCTATGTCATGATTGACGTCACTGGATGGTAATCGGCAATTTCTAATAGTACAATGATGTTCCGTATGCA